GCGCGTAATCCACTGAGCAATGCTCAGTGGATTACGCGCCACTCCATGAAGCAGTTGTTGCTTGCCAAGAGTAGCATGGTCGGACGAGGACCGAGGCATCTTGAGCAAGACCCTTCCGATGCGCGTGGGGTAGCAGTTTATTCACTTGACGAAGACTGCGGAACTAGCAGCTCTTCGTCGGATGTTGTAACATCAAGGCTCCGATAGAGCAGAGAGTGGGAACACGCGCTCAGCGACGCCAAATTTTATCGCAATACGCAAGGCGTTGACCCTGACCCATGGTGTGCTTACCGTAGACGATAGCGCACATCTATACACCCTCGTCAACGGTATGAGGGGGAGAAAGACGGCGACGTCACCCTTGAGGCTATTCCTGCGGTATCAAGCTGGACGACATGTCCTTCGAAGAGTCGGCAGTGACTTGAAGGCAGGCGACGTCGCCGAAGTAGTAACTTGTCGTCGCTTCTGGATGAAGCTGTCCTATAGGACACCAAGAGGGTACTGAGCGCACGAAGTAGATCTTCGATCCCAAATAATCCCTCGGATCCGTGCTATATTTTGGTGAGGGAGTTTCAAGACGTTGTTTTCAAAGACCCGCCGTCGTTCCTACCGCCGGACCGAGGTGTGGTTCAAGAGATCAACCAGGTTCCGGGCGTCAAAAACTGCGTTTCACACCAATGACCCCTGCCGAAGGAGTATTGTGACGTCATCGACGCTTTCTTTCGTGCGAAGCACGACGCAGGAATGTTGTGTGGGAACAAGTCTCCCCTTTCGACACCCACGTTTTTGCGTTCGGAAGCCGGACGGCAAGTGTCGTATTGTTCACGCGTACAATAAGCTAAACACTGCCACCATTCCGGCACAGACGCCGATTCCTATTGCTCTCCAGTACAATAGGTTGGCTGTACAAAGTACAGTACACTCGACTTGGGTGATGGGGCTTTCCGGTTGCTCGTGAGAGCGAATGAAATTCCGCTGACAGCGGTGAGCACTCCTGACGGCATGCTCTGGGAGTGGATGGTGATACCCCAAGGCTGTCAAATGCACCATCATCATCCAATCGTCTCATGCCGCAGCTGTTCAGGCCCCACCGGGCGTATGCACAGACATAATTTCCACGACATTTTCGAGCTGGGCAGGGAAGGTCAGATGAGAAAATTCACATCGTCTATTTGAGAGCGGTGCTCGAGTGCTTGCGCAAGAATAAGCTGTATGCAAATGCAGATAAGTGCATATTCGGCGCCGAATAAATCATCTTTTTAGGGTGCTATATTGGTAAGCGTGTCCTTCGAGCACATCCCGCCAAGGTCAAGACCAGTGTGAACTGGCCGTTTCCAAAAATCCGGAAGGACTTGCGCAAGTGGCTTGGCCTCACCAACTACTTGCACAAGTACAACAAAAATTATGCGGAAATGGCACGGCCATTGTCAAATCTCCTAAAGAGGGATGCTGAATGGTATTGGGACACCAAGCATCGACAAGCTTTTAACGGGGTCAAAGGCAGCCTCCTTCATGCACCAATGCTGGCGTTGTCAGACCCCGACCGTCCTTGTAGTGTCGTCTGTGATGCTTCGGACTTTGCCATCGGCTGTGCACTGCTGCAAACAGACGCCGAGGGGCAAGATCGGGTGATCGCGTTCGAATCTCTGTCACGAAAGATCGACCCGCGTTTAGCACGCCTCTTTAGTTAGATACTGCACCTAAGTGCCCATTCTCTAGCGTGATTTTGATTGCAAGCACAACGCGCTCTGGATCCGTAGTATGGTCGAATCCACAACTTCCAGAGCATTCCTCGTATAGAGGGCAAGATTTTTCCATTCCAGCTTTTGAATGCTTGTCTCTTTTAGACCCTCTGGCGTTTGGTCAGGGTACTACTGGACCTGTATTCTCAAATCTGGTAAGCGCCTCCAAGCGAGCGTATACCAGTCCTCTAGCCAGTAATCAATCTGATCTCTTCGGGACACCATCAAGACAAAGCTTGTCCAGCTGGCCATTTTTTTCTGGGGACAGGTAATCGAACATTTCTTGTTCCGTCTTCACGAGAATACAATCTTCCACGACTTGATCGTGGGAGTGACTAGAGTAGCCATCAAGCACAACGGTTGTCGTTGCCATGCGCTTTGCACAGAGGAAGCTTTTACTCTCAGAATCTGCGTTCACTAACGCGCAGAGGTACGCTACTTGCGCTCAAACCACGAGCGAAACCGAGAGTCTACATTTTTAGTTTGACCCGCTAATTCAAGATTATCCGAGCTGATATTAAATATGTATTCTAACTCGTCCGTGGACTAGCTCCTCTGTTTGGGAGTTCATTTTCCGATATTCCAGTGCTTGTGAATATTAACCGTATTGATTGTACTTGGGTCAAAAAAATATTACTAATAGCTGAGTTATAATTCGATGCACTAAAATCCAAAACTTCGTACCGGCAAGAGTTGGAAACATCAAATGTTCGCTCAAAACACTACCAGAATTTTAAATGATCTGGTAATTGAGCAATAAGTTAAAGCAAATATTTTGTTTCACGTTACGGTAATTTAACCATGACCCTCCTTCCAGTCATATTATCAGCCAGTTTGAAATGATCGCTACAAAGACAACAAGGGATACTGGAGAGGCAGTGACAACTGCCGCTGCAATGGATGAGAAAATAGCTGAATGCATGACAATGCTGGCGGGCAACACTGACGAGCACAAATTTGCGGGCTTGCTTATGGTCACCAAGCTGGGTGATCTGCCAGCGGACAAGCTTCAGCGGGTGAGGCGACAGGTGCTTACAATCGTGGGCATGAGCTTCTTCGTACGCCTATTACACACCAGAAGTGCGTACATGGCGTTGAATGGTTCTGTGATACAGTATTTAATTTATTTATACTCATCAATTCGTGCTTACAGACCCCGAAGATGTCCAGATGCTATCATCCTATCAAAGACTAGGATTGAATTTGATAGCGAGGTACTCTTCGGATATTAAAATATCATTTTGCTAATTTGACAAGCACATGCATACTATAAAATTTGTGCAGCTTTTGCATGGACTCATCCCTGGCGGAATTATTTGCACAGGAGAACACTGTGAGATTTCTTTTAAAGCAGCTAGCATTGCAGTCGACAGCACATGAGTCTTTTGTGGACTGTGCTCGCATTTTGTCATGCATGGTTCAGACCAAAAATGGGTCAAAGGTAAGACAAGACACTCGATTGCTTACTCATGTTTGTAGAAGTGGCGTGACGAAGCTATTGCTAAGGTCATGATGCGTGAAAAAGTTCTCGATGGAATGTTTCGAGTTCTTGAGAATCTGGGTCGATTGCATTCAAATCAAGATTTGATTGAAAATATAAAGCCGGCAGCTCAAGACAAATCGATGGCGTCTCTCTCGGCGACGTCGTGGGGCATTTTGAACGGGCTTGCAAGCATCAAAGAGTTTTGGACTCATATTCACAGCGATCACTTTGAATTTATATGCTTAAAGTTCGCGCACGTTCAGATTGAGATTGCTATTCAGGTGCTAACAGTATTGAACTACTACATGACATCCGTCGAGCTGGGCGAAGCACCGGTCGCGCTTCTTAGCTCGCAGTGTCTCTCTGGTATTCGGGCGGGCGCACTGCGCTTAATGCGCGCAAAATTGCCTAATCAAGTACGCGATCAATGTTTGCGACTTATATTTCAACTAATGAAACAATCGGGTTTCTCATGGATGGCTCCTAGCACTACATTGCGACGCCGAGTGTTGCATGAGGAAATGTCTGGCGAAAAATTTATACTTTTGTTACTGAGACTCGTCGCGATAGAGGTAAGTCGGGCTCATATCTGCACTGAATCGGGTTTCTTACAAATACTACGTAGATAAAGATTATGCTAGATGAAGTGGAACTGTCGCTGATTCAAGTTGATGAAACAAAGAATGAGTCCATGGAGGAGATGGAAAGGCGAAAAAAAGAAGTTCAACGTGTGCTCGCCATTCTGCCCATTTGTTACGGCATCCTCGAATTGATTATTAGTGGTCTTGTTTCCAGCAACAAAGGCAAGCTCACGCTTCCATACGATATTTTATTTGAGATAAAAGGGACATTTAGTCAAATTTTTATGGTGGTGTTCGAGCTGCTAACACTAGCCCAGGATTATGTTCAGACTCATCGCTACCAAGAGCTGCGTAAGGCGCATGCTGATTCAATCTCTCACTTGGATGCTGTAATTTGCGCTAGTTTACGTATCGTTAGTGCCTGGATTGCAGAAGACTCGGACACTCATGCCGAATTAGTAATGCAATTGCTTCCTTTTTTGGTGTGCTATAAATCATCGTTGGCTTGGACGATGAACGATGATTCTGAAAATTGTAAATTGAAAAGTATTCAATCATGCAATTCCGATGAAGAAATTGACTCAGACGACGACGTCGACGTCGACGCCGTTTCTCGGATCAGGCTAAAGGCTGCAATGATTTACAAGACTGACAGTAGCATCGACCAGTTTCACTTTCTGTTGCCAGGATTGCTTCAGCTTAGCGCACTATCAGACGGCGCTTCCATCATGTCTAAAAATGTAAAGGTTTTGCAGCGTTTAATGCAGTTTTGTTGCACCATTTGTGCCGACTTTGCTGATGGAAAAAATGAGTTTGCCGCCGTGTCTACCCTAACACTATGTCTCGGCATTTTAATAAATTTGATACTGATTTGTGGAGGCAACGACAGCGCTGCACAGTCGCACAAGTCGGGTATGCCCAACGCTCTAGAGTGGTTTCACGCCTTAACGTTCCTTGTACCCGTGGCATGTGCCTGCGGATCCCAATTAATAGCAGACAAAAATATTGATGATAAAAGTCGCAGAGAAGACGATCGCTACGAGATGCTGCTGCACATTGTCTGCTTGGTGCTGTTAATTGTCAGGCACTTCCAACATAAAGAGCGTCATCCATATCGTTTACCGGTCGTCGTCGCGAATCTGGACACGTCGTTTAGTAGCATTGTCGCCTGGATTGTAGACCACCCTCCAAGCGCAACGACTGAGTCAATCGCTGACCTTTACGAGCTCATGCGAGTGCTCTCGATACAGTTTGTTTTGACGCTTCAAGTACTAGCGCGCTAGTCATGACAATCAATATCGATATAATGGAGAGCTTGACACATGACAATATGCATAATAGCCTAAAATTATGACCAGGGGTAATAACAGTAAAGTGTTGTATTGTACGCATAGCGAGATTCTCGCCACTGGTGGCCAAGACTTGACTGTCATTTTATATGCTGACTACTTCATCTATCTGTGGCAAAAACTTGGTACTTCACGAGGTTGCAATATCGTGTCCACTCAGTCGTCGTCGCTTGCCGATCGCTCGAATGGCATCCTGCTCTCGAAAACGGCGACGTGATGCGTTTCGGTGAATGACTGGCACAACAGGTTCAGTGATACAAGGAGGTAGTGATGCGGTCATCCTGGAGCTGTGTTGCAAGACACTTGCGTTCAAAACGGGTACTTCTGTTGAAATGTCGCTCGGTCTGCGCATGAATGAGTCAATTGCTGACGTTGAAGCTGCATTTCGTCTTACACGTGCGTTCACAATAGCTTGAATAACCTGGTTGCTCGCCGATAGATCGAGCAATTCGGCTGCAGGCATGTTGGATTGAGACTGCTGTAAGACAATAGTAGTATTGATAGCGTAGACACTGTAGCTTGTGTGGGCATCAGTAGGCAATTGGTGCCGACACGTGGGGCAGGTGCTGTGCATCTTAAGCCAGGGCTCAATACAACGCTCATGAAATTGATGGCAGCATGTTGGCAATTCAGCACAAGGTGATACAAGCGCCTCCATGCACACGACACAGACTGCTCTCTCTCCGTTCTTATGCTGCCGGACATCTGCTGGCTTATTTTTAATCGTCTCTAGGAGGTGTATCGCAGCAGGCGATACGTTGTTAAGCTGTGGGATAATGTAGCGAATGATTGAATGCACCCAGCGCGCGCTCTTAAATAGCAGTAAAGCGTCTTTTATCTGTGAGTTGACGGGGGCAGCGTAGCGTACGTTGACACGAATGGCGAGGTCCATATTTAATTGTCCTCCCCAGGAATTGTTGAATATCAAAGTGAGTCTTGTTTGAAAAGTATGACGGATAAGCTTGACTAGCTTTACCCCGATTGACGGCGTAGTAATGTATGTACTTTCTCAGGGCACTTAAGTGCAAACAATGTTGTTTCTCAATGCAACTAGCAGGCGACTTTTTCGCGTTTGGGCTGGAGTTGCGAGCGGGTGAGATGCCGGGAGTATTTTAGTCGGGACTATGCGTGAGCTGCAAATTTATTTTGAGGCCGTACCGTTAATGCTTCCTCGGGTGCTCAGCGTTGGTATGTTTTGTGAATGCTAGACTTGCATTACCTACCCTACCTCCTTCTCGGTCCGACTAAGAAAACGTTGTTTATTGCTCAAGCGATTACGGAATTCACGACAATATTATCTATACAGTAAATTCTCTGGTTTACGATAGAAAATCAGAATACTGCAAGGATGTAGAATCAAGGCCTCCATCGAGATCATGGAAATATGATTGTTGAGTTGTCGAGCAGATTGATTAATAATTTTCACTAAATTCCGGTGTGCCAGATTTTTGACATGCGTTGACGGCCCTTCCATCATGTGATAACAGGACCGGATCTTACATTCTTTCTTCTGTATTCCCATTCATTTTCAGGCAATACATCAAGACAGCTAGCTGCCTCCCACAATGCGACACAAACTCCAGCATAGAGTTCGATTAAACGAATACTTACCTCTTCGAAAAAAGAGAGAAGCAACTTACAAATGAGTTTTGCCGCATGATCTTCACTTTCGGAATGTGATAATTCGGTAGCGATCCACTTGACTAGTTGTTGCTTTGTGCAATAAAAATGCAGGCCGTAAACATAAGTCTGAATCGTGATTTTCCCGATTTTTGAATTCGTACTAACAGGTGCGTTTTCTAATAAACGCGGCTATCGTTGTAGATGAAAGCGGAGTAGATGACGAATAATGCACGCTAGAAACCAGTGTTAGGCACTTAATGGTTAATGATGCCACATTGTGCTGGGTATGTTCGTATTCAGTGTTTCTTCAACAATTCTTTGGGCCAATTGATTTACTTTGATTTGCACATCCTGAGAAGCAAGATGGGAAAAATGTTTCTACCTTTTGTATAGGCTTGAGACGATTACGATAACGATAACGCAGCAGTGGGTGCACTTGAGTGCACAGCGCTTTTTGATAGCGCAGTCTTTACACATTCACTAATCAGTCAGCTTGGTTGTGCTATGTTGAATACTTACGCTTGAATAAGTAATTAAACAGTCGGAGCAATGCTGTCGACTACAGCGAGCCGAACAAACGAGCTGTGTATTTATACAGAGGCCAAGGAGCAGCGCTTTGACAATAGAACATGTACTGGATTATTATAAATTTGATGTCCTCCGTCATATTCTGCTACTCTATGATTACGTCATCAATGAGCAATTTCGAGTAGATATTTAACTCCGAGTGCTGTGCACCTCGCACAGAGAAAGCTCAGAATCTACTGTCCACATTTACAAAGGTGGGCTTGTATGCTTCACCCGGAAGACGAGGTATGTACACTTGCCCTTACATATCTGGTACAATTATACGAATTTCATATTAGACTCGGTGTAATTGTGATTATTCAAATGTCTCAAAATATTGGAATATATAAAGTTGGTACATGCGGTAATAAAGGCAGTTTTATCGTGAGCCAATAAACGTATATAAATATGTTTAGAACTGATTTGAAAAGAATCAGTATAAATAGCAAAGCACGTTGACTAATAAAAATCCAAGAGGCTCTCGGTCTCTGCAACGGGGTTGCCTTGCATTTTCACAGAGAAGGCTTTCACTCTCACTGTCCGCTTTAAATAGCGCACAGAGGATGGGTTCGTCCACTCCTGTCAGGAGCAGAGCCGAGAGCCTCTATCCTACTAACACTGTAAGTTTCGCTCTGATATTTCGCGAGTACATACATCTTGAATTTTTCTTGATTATATCATATAGATAATGCTTACATTTTGAATATACCTCAATATACAGATTTTGCAGCGGGGCTGCCGTAGCTAAGCGCTTGAGGAAGCGTACATAAGTACCGACCTTTCGTTTTATACAAGAACCAAGTATGAGTTAGCGGATCGCAATCCGCTTACCCCAAGAGTGATTATTGCGCTCCCAAGGCTAATCGACTGATTTTTATTTATATTTTTATTCTAATTCTAAAGTTTAGATTTTCCTAAATATACTTAATATATAGAGTAAAATCTAAATACACGCATAACTACCGGCTACCTAGCCTCGTACCGTATTCTTGTTTGGGTGTGGTCACACCATACACATCTCGTGTGACACACACCCCTGTTACCAGGGTTCGTGTAACCCCGTTACATATTTGGATACATCTTATAATTTAAACGCATCTAGCACCACACGTGATCCTCGGACGCCTCCATCCTGGGTTCCAAACCCTTAATTATTACAATTGTAATGTAATTTTCGTAAAATCGTACCAAATGTGTAAGAGTCAAGTACACATAATGACAAGACTTGATCCGTTACACCGACCCTACTCAATTGAAGGCCACACTGGATTACACACTTTGCAATAGTAATGTTCCACGAGCATTTGCTGCGCCTGGTGTTCCATCCTGCTTTCCATTCTCTACCAAACTGAATGGCTTAACAAGTCCCCACAAAACGCGCGTTTTCGGCGACCGACGCCCTAAATAAATTTATTGGTGAGGATTATGAGGTATTCTCATGATCCCCTTTTCATTTGGGAAGAAGTTTTTTGACACCCCGCCGTGGACCCCACAACAACTTCAGCTCAAAACCAGCAAAATGCTCCTGGCTTAATGAGCCTAGACTGCTCTAAACAAGCTCACGAGTCACACCAACACTTGCCCAGACTACGCTGTGATTTCGGTTCTTAATCGTCCAAAGTCGCTTGCCGCGCTTATGCGGAGATCCGTTATGCCTATGTGGGTGGGCCTTCCGCTTACACTCCGGAAGAGATTAGCGCGAGGCAGTAGCTCTGTGAGCGTTTTCTTAATCTTCAGGTCATCCATCTTCAGGACTATCGTCCGTGTATGGAACAGCTGCGGATGGGGAAACTCTTCGCCATCATGAAGGATGAGGGTGTACTTCGGATTTTATTAGCTGGCAAAAATGCTGCCAATTATCTTGGGCACTACATGAGGAGAACACTGCTTAAGGCTGGCTTGATAAGCCGGCTTTCGCAAAGCGGATGTCTTTCTTGAGCGCTGCATCATGCTTTTGTTGCAAAGTACAGGGTTAAACGCGACAGTCGAGGCTACAACCCATCACCTCAAGTTCCTGTGACTTGCAGCCCCGCCCGTCTCCAGGAGACAGCTATAACAGCTACCGACGCTGGTGGATCTACAACCGCCAGTCCGACAATGCTCATGAAGAAATACCATCACTCCTATTTAAAACTTCGCACTCGAGACCAACATTGTGATTAGAAAGCGTTAGCTTAGCCGTATAAATGATCGCTTTCCCTTATAATTTGCAAGGTAGATCGCACCCCACTAGGGAAAAGCGCGCTGCAACGGGCCACCCTGCTTCATCTCAAAGGACAGCAAAGACTAAGGATGCTCCAGGTTGTAAGTAGTCACGGTGTAGCGGCAATCTTGCTAAAGTGGTATCTCAAACTCCCACAAATTTTCAGGCTCAGGATAACCTTACTTCTTCACCTGATACGTGTAATACCCAAGGAAAGTCAAACGCCTCACGAGAGTGAGCCGCTTTTTCTCATCAAACAGTGCTATTGAGCTTCACCACACCCCCGTGAGTTCTATTGGTTGTGGTGACACGTCGATTCTCCCTGAGAGCCACGACGTTCATCTGAGGCTAGATCTAGATTACACTCTCTATGCTTCGCTGTCGCACTGCTTAACGTGAGGCATCATATGCGAGTCAGAGCGCGCCCCTAATCTAGAGCAGAGCGTATCTCAGCTACCGACGACGTTACTACGTCTGAACTAATATCTACCCGTACATTAGATCGTACGAGCGGATAGTGATATGGCTTTAGAAAGTCACATAAAGCACTGAATGCATTTGCATTTTGGTTGGAAATAAAGTATATAATAGTATACATTTTTTGTTACAACCGTGAGTGTTGTGATGTGGCGTGAAAACAACTTAATCTTACGACTGCATACACTACAATTCTGGATAGGTCAAACACTCTTGAATATAACTAGCATTTTAGTTTATGTTCGCCAGCCTGTGGCATCAGCATGTTGCAATTGTATACCGTGGCTCTTAGCAATAGGGCTCAGCATCCTGCAAATGATGTTCAATGTCATTAGAATAAACGCACTAATTTTGCTACGAAATGATATATAGACTCTTAACAGACCGTAGGAACTTTGTGACGGTGTCAATAGGGTAACGCCTGTAGAAGAATATATTGCAATAATAAACGCAAACACTATAACAACTCGCTCAAGTACCGCTATCTTTCTACGCAAGAGATTCGGAGGATGTAATCTACAAATCCATTCACGCACTGTCGCTGACCATATGCTTGTGTGGTGGTCAGCGGAAGACTTATCCAATCTGATGCCGATTCTTTCGAATTTTTTTCAAAATTTTGCTGTAAAGTGCGGATTTGAATCCAATCCAATGACTAACTACTAAACTGCTAGTGAAGCCCTTTGTTGAGGAACATCTTTGCTGTATCGCCACTGGTCACATCAGCACGAGCCATCTTACTCCGACGTTTCGCAATGACCACAGTACAGGTATCACCAGGTATGTCTTTCACAAGACCAAAAATAAAGTCTATATTAAAGGACTACCAGCGCTCTGCTGGTACTGGCAGGCTGGTAAAAAATACCGCCGAATTTGGCGAGAGTGTGACCCGCTGGCACGTTTCACACGTGCGCATATATGTTCCTACCGGCTTACGCCTGCATGGCAGCGCTTACCTAGCCGTATGCCTTTTATCTTTTGCAATGGCCACACAAAGGTATATCGTGTGTCTCGTACGGTAACTTGTGCTGAAGGCCATCATCGTGAGGCACCACTATAAGCTGATTGTCATCTAAATTCGTGCTGTAATACAATAATTCTCGGAACCAAGCATAGTGCAACCGCATGTTTTGATAAAGCAACATCTGAGTCTCAAACACTTTGCTTTGTAAAGGTTTTTAGAAAAGCAGCATATGTTGCATCTAATTCACATTCTCCTCATCAATGGGTGATATTTAAGCCGACTAGGCTCATACCTTACTTCAAAGTTATACCAAAAAAGGTTAGATATCTTGCCATTCTCTGTGGAGTGAGGTGACAGCGTTGCCGTACGCAACAGTGCATATGTACAGATCATAAAAGGGTCAGAGTTAAGCAGATACACCCTAAGCTTGATGAGGGTATACTGCAATCCTTGTCATGGGCTGGGTGGTTCTACTAAGCAGCTTTAAGCTGGCGATGCCCAGACTTGATCATGCGCTCATGTGCTCGAAGTAAAGCGCAGCCTATTGCAGAGGCTAAATCGTCAAAGACGGCGTGGAATGGCTGATCTGGATTTGTAAAAATTGAATCGGGTATGCATGATATTTTCTTTTGAAGCCTTAAAATCTGCCTCATCCACCGCACGCCGGCACCATCTAATATTTTCAAGACGATTGATAAGGGGTGGTGTAGTTTGCACTGTAATTGCTCAGTAGAAGTTGGCCAGGCCAAATCCACTCTCCCCAGTCGGTCAGAGGCACTGGACAGTGTTCCGTTGCCTAAATCTTTGCGCGATCTTTCTGCAGACCCTGATTTACAATGAAGTAGCGAGAAAGCAGACTTGGTTGGGGGCCGTCGGCGCATCTGTCGATATTGGCGAATTGCTTCAATTGGCGCATACACTCGACTATCCGCTCGCAAGTGCATCAATGTGGCTTTACACAACCGGCAACGTCCCGTGTTTACAAAAAAAATGACGAACATATCTTTGAAATCGACCCATGCATAGCGACGATGTGGCCCGAACAGCTGTGCCACTAGGCAAATGAGCATCGCTGGGGCATTAGACAATCACTCTAGCATAAGCAGCCGTTACTACAGTCCTCATCTGGAGTATACACCGCAGTGAGAGAGATATTACCTTTTCTTAGCAGGTGATAATAAACATAAGTCAAGTATGCGGCACTGGATAAAGTGCGGTCCGCTATGCTGTTCTGCAGCACCTACCTTCTAGAAATAGGCGTTTACTCCGAAATCGCGGCTGCATCTGCTTTGTTAGAAGCATGCACAATTCACCACATGCCGTTGGCCTTTCGGACACAAAAGATCGACAAGTATGTAGATTTACTTTCTCGCGCCGAAACCACGAGAAGAAGTGTCATTAGCGTCAAATTGCTCCCTTGGGAAAGGCCATTACTGTGTGGTGCAATATCTCCTTCCGGGAGCCATATTTTTTTTAACAACACACCCCTATCCGTGAACAACATGCGTGGTGGATCTCTCGCCATCATGTTGTGATATTTTGTCAGGATAGACAGGATTTGTATAATCCTTGAAGGTAGCGGTCAAACGTTTCGCACCCAGTGGCCGCCTAAATGGCAGATTCATTCACGACGGATGATGAACTAAGCTCCTTCGTCGATTCCAACCGCACCATTTCAGCAATCCCACTGCCTTACACACCTTGCACATAATCCGGAGGATGATTCTTCCAGCCATATTACAGCGCAGATAGAACTATCCCAGTCACTCCTATCACGAATTTTCGCCACTTAGCCGTGTAGCTTCACTACCCCGCACATGAGCCCGTAACGCGGTATTGCTGACTGAGCACTACTGTCAAATTCTGACAAAGATAAATCATCCTTCTAATTACCTGTGCCTGGCTTTTTCACGAGACTTACCGTCGCTCTTCAACTTCACCGCCTTATACACGGGAGACCGCCACACACAGCCGCTTTCACTCTCTATGGTCTCTGGCCCAAGAGACAATAGATCAATGCTCTTATCTTTCATTTCACCAGTGATACACTCTGACGAACTAACATACAGTCGTTCTTTCCGTGTCAAATAGATACATTAAGAGAATCGAGACATATATTACTTTCTCGCCCCATTCTAGGATCTCGACCTACGGCTTCTTCTGCCTTACAAGCTCTTCTACTCACCTAGCAATAACATTACCATCAATTTTAGACAATCTCATGTTCTGTTCGGAAGGGTTCGAAGCTTTGTACCAGTGCCAGTAGCACTTCTGTCTCTTGGTAGAGGTGGGTTCACGACTCGCCATGCTCGACCAGGAGAAAATTGCGTCTTCGACTCCCTGTCAGCCCATGGCTCTTGGAGTTACAGTCACTTTATGCCAAAGATGGGATCATCTCTCGAGTCTTGGTCCGCGGCTCAAAACGCGGTCAGAGACATCAAACTTCACTTGAAATATCAGTACGCCATTCGACATGTGTTTGTCGTAAGACACATCGGTTTCGTTTTTGTTATTGGTCACCCGCGTACTCTCTACGGTTTTGACACTTAAGTTCATCGAGTATACACCTGTATAGTTGTATATTCCCTTTTAATTCTGTTGTATCAGAACTGGAAGTAGTTATCAGGTTATGGAGGTTATTGGTTATAGTAAGAAATGTTAATCTACCTTTCCCTTCCTCTGCGTAAGTCATTGGCCCACTGGAAGCGAGCAACACGCAGTGAGGCGTGGCAGTTGACCTAAGCCTTCCTCACAACGTGTGTGTACAAGGGCGGGCAATTCGCGTTGCACTTGGAAGCACTAGTAGTCATTCCAACGCCGACTACTCGACGAATTTTTCGATGGAAAAGGTGGACACTACAGGCGGTGATCGTCTTCGGAACAACAGGGAGGAATATTCGCTCCTAACACACTGCAATGGGAGTGAATAGTGAAGCTGCGAGCCTAAATCGGATATCACGCGGTCTTTAATTCGATCAAGAAGCGATAACTCAATGCTTATCAAATTTTGCTGTGTATGAGCAAGAATTACTGGAATTTATATCGCAGAAAATTGGTCCCGTCACCTCCTCTACAAGTGGTGGGGACACCGTCAATACACACGGAACGTCCCGTAAAAATCAAGGTGAAAAGCTGCAAGGGAACAAAGATGAAAATCTTGAGTTCTGGCAGCGGGAAATGGACATTGCTATCACAACAATTTAAATTTGTGATGACCGTAGTCAAGTGGCCTTTGCCATGTGGCCTTTGGATGACTTTGCGAAGGATTGGGCGATGACGCGGGAGGTCAACAGCCCTGGCTACTTTGCCACATGGATATAATTGAAAAAGGCCATTGAATCAATGCTCCTTTCGCCGAATGTGGCGTTTCGCGGAATGAAAGTGTTGCTGAAAACGACCCAGTGCTTTCGAATGCACTAGATTGCAGCAATGACTTTATCTCAGTGAATTTTGCCACTTCTGCGGTGGTCACCGCGAAGGAAATTACGGTTGATATTTAAATGAAGTTTGAAGACTTTAAGTCAAGTGATAAATTTGCAATCCTTGTGACGGACAACGGAATGAACTCGGTTTAGGTATTTCGTGGCTTTTTTGAGATGCACGAGCCATGATTTGATTGGCGATCAAAAACGAATGAAAGAAGCGCTTCTGGCGTAACAAAACTCGTGGGAGTAATGTACCCATCTTCACGATGCACTAGAAGAAGTGCTCAAGTACAGGTATGCTGCTAGAAATGATCTACTCTCCATTGGTATATGTCATGCAATTGACATTCCGTAGGTTAGTGAAGATACGGAGTCGTATGGAGTAGTCGTTTAGGAAGTGTGCCGATGGATCAAGTGGTACTCGGATCTGGGCGCTTGAAATCAAATTATTCGTCGGTGGGCATTGCAGCGGGGCTGCCGTAGCTCTTTTGCGCAAAGGAAGCTAAACTAAGGTCGGTGACATTCGTTCCATACTTAGAACCAGTACGAAATTAGCGGATCGTAATCCGTTTACTCCAAGAATAGCCTCAACCTTAACCCAAGGCAAATAAACTCTTCCGCTCAAATGTAAACTGTATTTCTTGGTTTATTTGCGGCAAAGCCGCCTATATCTATATCTATTTCCTAACTCAACAGGAAAACCTAATTCAAATGCATAACCACTGGCAGTCTAGACTTAATGTTAAATTTTAGCCACACCACTATGCGATTACACCGTCTTGTGTAACCCACACCTTTGCATGGTCACACCATCTTGTGGAGCCCACCCCCTTCATACCAGTGTACGAGTAACCCCCCTTTACGCTCTCCCCCATCAAAATTGTGAACACCCACAATTCACATTTAAGTGTCGCCTCGTACGATGCTCGCGTGACTAAGACACCTCTACATCTCCAAGACCTTCTGCACGCATTCTATGCTCAATGAACCCGGTGTCGAGGATACAAACGACACCCAGCCTCGCTGGTTCCGAGAGAGCTTGCGGGCAGAGCACTTCTTTTGTCTCCTGCACGCGGTGCAAGTTTGAACAGCACGTCCGCGGCTTCAAGGTAAGCGCATCCCAAGCTCTC